AGCCCTAGAGAACTTCTCCAGCAGAAACAGCTCTGAGTAGGTATGTGGAGCTGTCCTCAGAAGCTGCTGACTCAAGGCTATCGACACTTACCTGCAGTTGTGGTGGCTGCTGGAGTTGAAGTTGCCTCAGGTTTCTCAGTGTTTTGTCCTGAGGAATGGAAGAGAGATGGTAGCACTGTTAAGCCTGGTGTGGAAGAGAAGCCCTAGACAACTTCTCCAGCTGAAACAGCTCTGAGTAGGTATGTGGAGCTGTCCTCAGAAGCTGCTGACTCAAGGCTATCGACACTTACCTGCAGTTGTGGTGGCTGCTGGAGTTGAAGTTGCCTCAGGTTTCTCAGTGTTTTGTCCTGAGGAATGGAAGAGAGATGGTAGCACTGTTAAGCCTGGTGTGGAAGAGAAGCCCTAGACAACTTCTCCAGCTGAAACAGCTCTGAGTAGGTATGTGGAGCTGTCCTCAGAAGCTGCTGACTCAAGGCTATCGACACTTACCTGCAGTTGTGGTGGCTGCTGGAGTTGAAGTTGCCTCAGGTTTCTCAGTGTTTTGTCCTGAGGAATGGAAGAGAGATGGTAGCACTGTTAAGCCTGGTGTGCAAGAACAGCCCTAGAGAACTTCTCCAGCAGAAACAGCTCTGAGTAGGTATGTGGAGCTGTCCTCAGAAGCTGCTGACTCAAGGCTATCGACACTTACCTGCAGTTGTGGTGGCTGCTGGAGTTGAAGTTGCCTCAGGTTTCTCAGTGTTTTGTCCTGAGGAATGGAAGAGAGATGGTAGCACTGTTAAGCCTGGTGTGCAAGAACAGCCCTAGAGAACTTCTCCAGCAGAAACAGCTCTGAGTAGGTATGTGGAGATGTCCTCAGAAGCTGCTGACCCAAGGCTATTGCCACTTACCTGCAGTTGTGGTGGCTGCTGGAGCTGAAGTTGCCTCAGGTTTCTCAGTGTTTTGTCCTGAGGAATGGAAGAGAGATGGTAGCACTGTTAAGCCTGGTGTGGAAGAGAAGCCCTAGACAACTTCTCCAGCTGAAACAGCTCTGAGTAGGTATGTGGAGATGTCCTCAGAAGCTGCTGACCCAAGGCTATTGCCACTTACCTGCAGTTGTGGTGGCTGCTGGAGCTGAAGTTGCCTCAGGTTTCTCAGTGTTTTGTCCTGAGGAATGGAAGAGAGATGGTAGCACTGTTAAGCCTGGTGTGGAAGAGAAGCCCTAGACAACTTCTCCAGCTGAAACAGCTCTGAGTAGGTATGTGGAGCTGTCCTCAGAAGCTGCTGACTCAAGGCTATCGACACTTACCTGCTTTGCTATGGAGGAGCACTTCTAAGGAATGAGGTGGAGGAGCCACATGGGGCTGTGCAGCCATAGACCTGGAAAGCCTTGCTCTGCTCTTGGTCTGTCTCCATGGCCTGTATCTCTTTGTGTTATGTCTTCCCTTATAGTCCTTCTCACAAGGTTTTGTCTCCTGGCCACCAATAGCAATTTTGTACTCCTGCCTTTCTCTTTTATGGGACTGTGGCACACAAGTCAGCATCACTCATTTGTCTTCCTGCAGGAAAGCTCTCTTCACCTTCTCTAGGCACCACCACATCACGAGCACCAGCTTTCACAAAGTCATCCCTGTCCCAGTCTCATATGGCTTGGCCTGACCTATAGCCAGTGTTGGTGCCTATTGTTACTATGTCAATTTGCTTTTCTCATTCCTTAAAACAAATAGCATTTTTACAACCATGCATCTCCAGCATTGCCCTATTTTAAAATAAAGTTAGATAGTGCACTCTACAATTAGCACCTTCACAGTGACTCTTCAGATTATGCTCTACAACTTGGCTAACTGCACAAAATATATTCTCTGCAAGATATATGTATATAGATATTTTGCCTCTATGGAAGGTGCTCTCAGAAGCATCATGAGGAACTCTATATGGACTCTTTCAGAACAGGTGTGGAAGAGGGAATGTCTTTGCTAACACTTAGGCTATAACTAATTCAATTGTATTACACTTCTATGCAGTTATGACAGTATACATTATTTTTGCCATTCTTTTTTTTCCTCATTATAATTCTTTCCCAATGAAGAGAAACCTGTCTGACAGCAGACAATAATTGAACAGAATTTTCATCACATTTTGGCTTCAGAATTACCTTTCCTAGGTTTATTCTTCTGAAGTATTTTATTTATCTATTTTTAGTATCTTTATCTTATACTTAAACTGTTTCATTCTTAACTCTTGATATAAATAACTTTTGGGTTTTGTTTTTTTTCTTTAGAGAAAAGGAGAATAAATATTTTTTAAACCTTGTTGATAAATGTGTGATACTGACAAATGGCCAGTTAGGATCTCATTATATACCTTTAACCTGAATTAGTTAACATATGAATTAGGAATAAACATATTTTTACTCTGAGTTAATGCCACTGCAATCATAATTTAAGTCATTAACAGCATACAGCTGGAAGATTAATGTATTTGCAATGAAAGTCCTTGCCACTAATACACTCACATAACTGGTATATGAAAAAAAAAGAGTATTGTAAATCCCAACAGACGTTTGAAAAATTCAACGAACATTTCAAAAATAGACCCAGCTTTTCAAGAGCTTTTTAGGGCTTTGAAAACCAAAGTGAAGAACATTTCATAAACCTTTTTCTTCCAATCAATAAAGCCGATGTAGAAAAGGGATATAAAAAAGACAATGCCTGAAGTAACCCATTAGTCTTCTCTAGATGAAGAGGGAAGCATGAGCAATTAGGCCAGTTCTCTGTCAAGGCTTCAGCCTCCACTGGTCATCGAGTCCTATAGGCAGCATTACTTGTTCCCATCCAGGTGAAGAAATGTACCTTTTTCCTATAACCCTGGTAATATGAATCTGTGTTGGCCACAGGCCATGGTTTTGGAGTATTTTTTTTACTGCCTTCTCATAATGAATGTTGGGGCAGTAACCTCCTACTGAGGTTGTCCTTAGTCCCTGTAAAGGTTCTGGGTGACAGTTGTGCAGGAGCATCCTTTGGACCTGGGAAGAACTGCATCTGTGGTGACAGCAGAGTACGTGGCTGCAATTGAACCTTGCTGATGAGTTTGTCAAGGATAACCTGAGCAAAGGTGGCTATTTTATGGCTCTGCCTGCCTGGAACCAACCTTCTGTGTAGGTAAACAGATGTGTAATACAATTAGGCGTCTACTATGGAGATAAAGAAATGCATGTTACAACCTAGGTTATGGAATAACAGAGACATCTGGCTGCTGAGCAAAGCAGGGCCTTTGCCAGTAATATTCAAATAGACACATCCTGCAAACCTTTTACATTGTTTGCTTAGAATGAAAAAGGTTTCTGGGCAGGCCCATCCTGATGCAAAAATCTGTTCAAGTAAGTGAAAGTCTCATATTGCTTTCAGTAGTTCTTGAGTCAAGATTTTTCACATCTCGCTGTTAACCACAAGCCTCCAAACAGCCAGCTGACAATCTACAAGACTTCTACACTTATAATTTATAGCTAAAAACTGGTCTGTAAATGTTGTGGATGTTTTTGGAAATAAATATGTTCCTTTGCATTTGTCAAAAGAGACGCGCAGCCTGACAGCTGAGCCTGACAACATCAGTGAAGGTCTTAATTTGGCTCATATCTCTATATCTTTATCTCCATATTAGGTAGGAGTTACTGCCCCCTCACGGCTTCAAGTCATCACAAAATTCTTCATATAGCTGTTTCTGTTAATGCCTTCCCTCCCTAATAGCTGTCATGGGAAACTGGAGATGGGCAAGTTCAGGCAGATGTTCTGGCCCACAACTATCCAAGTTTGTCACAATGCCAGGAAAAGTACCAAGCAGCTTAAGGAATTACAGCAGCCCTTCAGTTTGAAACAGACCATGGTGCAACCCTCTGCCACCCAAGTTTAGGTGAAGCTACTATTCATTAATTTCAGCAGAAGGGAACAAATTCTCTGTGGGTCAGCTCAGGCAACACTGCTTTCCAGACTGTTTAAGGAGCCTCCGGTGGGAAGGCCAGCAGCAGCACTCCTTTCCCTGGGTACTGGGGTGGAACAGTCACACCTTTTGTGATGACTGTAATAGAGCTTGAATTACCTGGGTGTACAGTTGAAAACTGCTCTTGAAATAGGCTAATTTAGGTTAATCACAAGCACCAGTGCTTGTGCATTGTTCTGTGAACAAGGAAAACTTTTGGCTTGCAGTGACATTTTTCGCCATTAATTAATCAAAACCTAGACATGCTGAATTGTGTGTTGCCACTGACTTCCAGCCTCTCTGCAACTTCTGAAAGTACTAAGCGATCCATTCACTGTCACAAAATAGCTGGCCTGATAAATCCCAAAACAGAAGATAGGGTTTCTTACCTTTCGAAAGGCTCAACACCAGGCTGAGCAACACAGCGAGGAATATACCGCGTCTCATCGCCGTTTCTGCTGCTGCTGCTACTTGCTGCTAAACCTAAGAGAAAATGTTCTCCTCTTCTGGTGTCAGCTCATTTAAGGACCCAGCCACAGGTAGAGAGTTCAGCCCCAAGGTGACGTCATGGTGGCAACTAGCAAATGATAGATCCAAGCTGTGTTTTCCTTCCTCCTCAGGCTGGGAGGAAATTTCTGGACCTGCAGACCTGTTCCTTTAAATCATAAATGCTTGAGATCTATTGACACAAGGAAGTTACTGCTAAATAAGGTGACGTGGGAACTGACAACACACCAGCTGCCCCCTGCCAGCTCTCCATACAGACACTTTCAGTGCAAATTAAGTGGAGGGTGCTGCATAATATATTCTCAAAGAGGAAAAACCTACCCCGTCCCGAGGCATGGTAATCATGCACTTGGAGTAGAGCGCCTGGGATCCACGTGCTGGCTTCCTTTGCAATAAATTACCAGTACAGACAAGCTTTATGCCTCAGCCCCACACTGGTAGTCCACAACGGGGCAAAAAGGAACAGACAACAACCTGCATCTTTGATATCAATAAAACGGGACTAACCTTCCCCTTCCTGCAGTGATTACAGCTGTTTTGTTTGCTGCTATCTGGTGTGTGTTACAGGCTCACTTAAGCAGTGTTACACTTCTCACTCAAGAGTAGGGGGAGCAGGCAGGACAGCCAGCAGGTGTTTGATTTTCTCTGAATGGTAGCCCTTCTTTCTTGAGGGGAAGTGTTTTTGTGTCAAAGAGACATTTGGAGGCAGGGATGGTGAGGCTGGATCAGGGAGCCTGCAGCAAATCCAGAAATGGGAAATAGCCCAGAAGGCCATGGAGCAGGTAACACACCTGTGACATAAGGAAGATTGGTGAGAGACACAGACTTTTTGACATGACATCCCAGGAAGCCTCTGAAAATTGCTAGATAGCGACCAAGAGGGGAAAAAAGGCAGGCAGGAACTGGTTTTCCCAGACCCTCCCATTTTTAGGTGCCCCACCTGCCCGAGCTCTCAAGCTGAACAGTGGGTTTCCTCCACTTTGAGCTCCACTAAAATGGACTGCTTGAGACCATTAGAAGTAAGATGGCCCATGATGGTTTCTAGTTCCTCCTTTTCAGGCAAAGGTGCCTTCTCTCATTTCGAAGGCCCGAGTGACCCTGTATCCCGTCACAACCGCCAGTAAAGTCTTCCCATTAAACAGACACAGGTTACCTGGTCATTATCAGACATGGACAAAGAAAGATAAGCAACCCATCAGTGTATCCCCCACATAGTCAGCCCTACTGGCTGTAGAGTTAATCTCCTCTGTGAAACTCCACTGCCAGCAACACTACTAGCAGGTTATTAACATGTTTCTGAATGCGAAGTAACTGCTCTGTGTATTAAATGCCTGTTTCCTTCACTTGTCTTCTTCTGAGCTGCTATTTTAAGAACAAGATTAGCCTCACACACTAATCTCATATACTCAAAGGGTGGCTTTCCGTGTACGTAGGAGTGTGGGAGAGACCAGAAGTATCAATCAAGTCATTCCTGCGCTTACGGTTGTCCTCAACTTTAAACTTGCACCGAACCAGGAAGCAGCGGTGGCTTACGGGCAGCAGAAATGCTGGGGTGTGTCTCTGCTGGCACAGGGAATGAGTGGCTCCATCCCTCTGCACCCTGCCACGTGGAGCTGCCCAGGGCAGAGGGAGGGTTTTGTCTCTCGCTGCCTTTGCCCCTCCGTCCCCAAAGCCCGCCCTGTGCAGCTGCCTCCCCACACCTGCCCCCAGGCCCCACAGTCACTACCACCTGCCCTGCCTCATGGAAGCCTGGGACTGCACCACAGCTCCTGAGGCAGCCCCATGGTGGACAAACTGTGTGGTCACCCAGGGCAGGGAAATCCCAAGCTGTGAGGGGACACCAGCACTGGGGTCTCAATGTGCCCCTCCCAAGAGAGGGCTCAGTGCCAGGCCTAGTCCATCCCTCAGGAGCCAGTGCTGTGGGGAGTTCCTGAGCAGTCAGCCAGCCCAGCCCTTGGGTTCCTCAAGAGCCCTCCTTAAAACTCCGCTTTGCCAGAGACCTGAGAGGAAAAAGGAAGGCAATGCCTGGAAAAACTTTGTCACCAGAGTGCTGCACGGCCCTGCTGAGGCAGCGCCTGCCCTCTGCTTCACGCCACCACAGGGCAGGGACAGCCGAAAATGAAGCTGAAGTTTCACTCAAGTAAAGCCTTTGAGTCTTGAGAAGACTGTACTTTGAGACTCCCAAGACACCCAACACCCCCAGACACCAGCTATTTGGGGAGCCACAGCATGTGCTTCAGCTAGAAATGGGTGTGCAGAGGCAGACAAACCTGGCTGTGGAGGGTTTTTGGCAGAGCTGTATGCCACCAGACCTTTGGCAATGTCCATCTCCCATAAAGAAGACTTTTCACTCACCATAATATGTCCTGATTTTCCAAAGCTGCCCCAAGATGCAACTAGGCTAATCCCAGGTCTTAAAATTTCCCTGTTGGCTGTGAAGCAACTGTGTAAGACCAGATGAACCTCTCAGAGCACTACTGAAAATGAGGGTCAGGCCTCCAGAAGGTGTAAATAGTGCAGCTCTGCTACACATTCTACTGGCTGAGTGTGTAATTCTGCACATTAAAACCATCCTCTACAGTGAATGCACATCAGGAGCTGGCACATTACCTATGTTTTTAGAGTTACTTCCATCTTACCTGGTTCTTCCTTGTTTACCACAATCACAGCTGGTGAAGCATGAGTAATTTGCATTGCAAAAGGCACCAGTACTTACAGGAAATAATACGCTGAGCAGACATCCACGTTCATCTACCAGATCTTTTTGTCTTTGCCTGCCCTTTTCTTTCCATTTTGTGACACACCATGGTCACAACAGGCTCTCTCTGGGGAGAAGGAGGGTGTCAGGCTTTATGTGCCCAAATGCTTGCCTATTTGTGGGGGAATTAGTAATAGATATTTGACAGTTTAGGAGAACAGATACAGAGAATTTCAAAACCATGAAAACTAATCTCAGCGAAACATCAGCATCTCCAATGCAATTATTAAGTTATTAAGCACACATTTATACAACAGATAGTTGGCTGTTAGTCCAGCCAGACTTGTACAGCCACAGCTATTGTGATATCCTATAAGGAGCTACAGAGAAAACTGTCTTTGCAGAAATAACTAAGTAACTGTCTAGAAGCTGTAAAACCACACTGCTGTGCATCAAAGCCCAGATAAAGCAATCGAGAACACTGACAAATTATTACTATGCAATAAAAATTGTTCTATATTTTACAATGAACAAGTACTTGTTCTCTTGCCTTGACCTTTGTTTGTGGCAGGAAAAGGAAGTGTCAAAAGTAAAAGGCCTTGCTCATCTACTAGTAGGCGCATAGCCCTGTGCAGCCTCGTTAATTTACTGTAAGCTATGTGTTATCAAGGGGTAATCACACTGCCAGAAGACATATGTTAAAGTAGGAGCAAGTGTCCTTAATAGCTCTTCACATGCATCAGCTGGATAATTCTGTGTATTTTTTTAATCCTATTCCTTACTGTATTTTGCCATATCATGTAAATTTGGTTCATCTACTGTATATTACATAGACAAGTAGAAATATATATTGTAGTTAGCTACAAGTTAAAAAACCCAAAACCACCTCCAGAAGGTCTAAATCAGTGCTATATGTACAGATTTGCCTGTAATCAGGGGAAACAGATGCACTTTAACTTCTTCTTAGGTGGTTCCCAAGATGGCTGAAGTGGGCAGCACTGTTAAAACATATCATAGAGTGGTGTGAATTGGAAGCGACCTTAAAGATATACAAGTTCTAACCCCTCTGAATGGGCAGGGACACCTTCCACCAGATCATGTTGCTCAGAGCCCCATCCAACCTCGTCTTGAACACTTCCAGGAATGGGGCTACCACAGCTTCCCTGGGCACTTCCCTTTTGCACTGCCAATTTCCTTAAAAGACACCAGCATCACATGGAAAATACAACTTGAAATACTAACACAACTGAGGCACTGTTAACAGGCTTTCTCTTGCAAATTAACAGAAGTTCAGGATTTAATTGGGCTATTTTCCCCTGCATGTCCCCCATCCTACTAGACAAGGAGCAGGCATGTTATTCTTCACTACAGCACTGTAGAAAATAGACTGAAATTTTGGGATGAACCATTTCTTTGTAAGTGGTGATGAATTTACCTAGGACAGTGTAGGGTCTCATGGCACTGCTATCAAAGCTGAAGGATATCTTACCATGAGGTGGGCTACCCTCTGCAGAGAGTTGTCTCTTTTCATGGCTACTGGAGGAGCCAGATGATGGGTTCAAACTGACCTCCTAACTTTTGGTAGAGCAGATGAATCCCACCTTGCTGTCATCTGATTGCTATTGCAGTTGGCTGTTGTACTCCTCTGGAGCCATACAGGACAAGATGGTCACCTCCCTGCCTTTGCTCCAAACGCTCTTCCACAGCTCACCTCTTCCCTACAGCCTGAGCTGGCCATTGTGTTCATCTGGATTGCAGACATCCTCCTTCTTCCACTGAGTCACAGTCAGCTGTGTATTCTTCATGGTCCCTGTTGGCACTGACTGAGGTAGGACTGATCTCACTGTGGTCAGGTCCAGTCCTTCCCCCTGCATCAACCTCTCCTGAGGTTTTCCTCCCCTCCAACATGCACTCACACATGCAAATACACAGTTTCACCAATTCTGTTGTGACTCCAGCAGGAAAAAAAAAAAAATCAAACTGAGGAAAAAATGAAAATTAAACTGAGATGCTTAATCCTACCAAAAATTTCAGCTGAGCAGAAGTTAGCACAACTAACAGAACATAACCATTTCCTCTTTGCCTTTCATTTTAATTATTCAGTGACCAAGCACCACCAGAAGAACAAAAGAACTAGACTATTTCTTATTTTCTGATTACACTTCTAATTAAAAACAAATTTGCACAGTTAACTACAAGAAAATGTGAAGACAATTAAAAAACCTCAGACATAGTAATATTC